ATTTTCTTCTTTCGAGGACAACTAACTTCATAGCACCATGCAATGCTGTCAACAAAGTATTGAAAAGCCTCGGCGAAGTTTAAGAAATATACTCTAGACCAGTCCATGTGTTTTAAGTGATGATTAAAAGTATTAATAGTATTTTCATTTACAATACGCTGTGTATAGCTCGTAACTACTTCAGTAGAACTCGGCCGCGGCCTTCCAAGATTTACAGTAATGTAATTAGCCAGGTGATCTCCTAAATTTGGTTGTATAACTTCAGATTTGTATGTTTCCGGATCCAGATTTGTAATTATGTAATCAATGCAACTACTGCTGGTATAGCCATTTACGTTTGTAAATATACGGGTGTGCTCATTCGATGTAACAGTTAAATAAAACGAGTTAATAATATCATTTAGAATATTAGTGTAATAGCATTTAGAATTATAGTCAATGTTGAAGTCACCACACAGAATAATATTTTTTGACACTGTCATGGCAACACTCAAGGCCTCAGTCAAATTAACAATAAATATATCAATGTCACCATCACACGGTCTATACAGACATATATTTACGAATTTTAGGTCATTAATAAAATAACTAGCACCACAGAGTTCAATGTGGCATTCAACGGACAGTTTTTTATAACATTTAGTTCATTCGCAAGAATTTTTTTATTAACCAATATTAAGCATCCTCCATGTACATGCTCAACCCTAGAATATTGAGTAATTATTCTATAATTGGAAAATTTGATGCTATCTATGTTGTCATAACGAAACCAATGTTCAGATATACAGAGTACGTCAGGGTTTTTATTTTTTAGAAAGCAATCGGTTAGCTCGAGCTTGTTATTCAAGCTCTGTACGTTGACATGACAGATTTTGAACGATCCTTTCGTACTTGCATACCCGAAGTCACTATGACTCTCACTCACTCTACAAGTTGGATTTGAGATAGATGGGGTATAAAAAATTACCCTGTTTACTGTAAACATCAGCATCACTATTTTCAGTGACTTTCTTAGTCATCTCACCATGATTAAAATCACATATCATGGTATGATCATCCAAGTAAATTATTTCCTGGTCGATAGCATTATCAGCATTTCTACTACTATTGTCATATTTTTCTGATGCAATATTTAGAGTAAAATCAATAGTTTCTACGACAATGTTATTGCCAAATGTTCTATAATTTTTACCTGTCACATATGATTTTATTTTATAGCATACATTGATTTTACATTTTCTTTTGTTTCGTTTAGTATGATTTAGATAATGAATCGATACATTACTGTTCCACTGGCAAAACTTACTTATTTTATCACAAATAAAATTACTATAATAATGATTTAGGTTAGTATCCCAAACACATTCTGAAAGAAAGAGAACATTAGTAAATTTTCCCAACGGCAAAATGTTTCTTAATAATAAAGTTAAATATTTAGAGTGAATAATATTGTTGACATTAAACATTATGACAATAAAGTCATCAAAACCATAATTTATTACCTTAGTAAAAATATTTTCAGTTAGCTCTGCAACACAAGCATTTGGTTTCACAAAACTTAAAACAGCATATTTGTCAAGAGAATTCAATATTTCCTAGCAACCTTTCCCGAATTCGTCACCTATAATCATAATTTTGTTTTTTCCAGCATTAACATTAACACTTTTAGGAAATTGCTTCTTTTCAGTGACGGCCTTGTGTTGGTCATTTTTGGTTCCTTTTTGAGTATTTAACTCAGAACTTTTATTGCTTCCATGTTTCACAACGGACTTATTGCTGATGTCAGATTTTTGTGCACCAGCTTCATAGTCTTTTTTACACTTACTGGTTTTATTAGGTTTATTAATATTTATTTTTTCATTAGAAGTATTTGTATTGTCTTTTTTAGTTTTAGCACAATTTTCAACAATTTTTACTTGAGTTTTAACAGAGTTACTATTAGTGACTTTTATAGTTTTAATTGGTCTTTCTGTTTGAACTGTACTACTTTTAGTTTGAATTTAGTTAGTTTGAGCATATTTTTCATGTGTTTCTGCACAAGTCTGTGATGCACATTCTGAAGTTTCTTTTGGGATATTTTTGCTAGTTAAAGCATTTAACTTGTCAGTTAGTTTCTGAATGAGGTTCCGTTGTGATTCAATTTCGTTTCTGTAATGTTGTTCCGCGTCGTAAACATCAGTTTCAAAAACTTGAGACATCCGCTTCATTTTACACATATGTAAATCCTTGTCCTCTAATTTCTTTTTAAGTTCAATAATGGTCTGATTTAATTCAACAACTTGTTTTTCCAATATCAGCACTTTATCCTCTTTCGCACATTTTTTTGAGCATAGGATTTTGTGTTTATTAAGCACAATTATATTGCTTTTTTTATCAATGCATTCTTTATGAAAAGCATTATCACAATTCACACAGTAAACAGCACTTACTGTTTCTTTTCTGCAGCACTTGAAACGAGTATCCATTTTAATAAGATTTTAAGCATATAAGATGTGTTGAGGTATAACCCCTTACTGTCACTAGATAAAATATAGTTAGTCAGATGCAACCAAAATTAATCAATCCCAGATTTAGATCAACTTGATTCGTGCAGTCAGGTCACACCTAAGGAATTCAGTGATAACAGCCCAAGAAACGAATTGACAGCAGTTTGTTTATTCACTTATTAGAATAGTTTGAGCTATAATTTTTGGCTGCAAACACTCACTTGAGATGTGATAGATGTTATGACACTATTACTTAACCTTTTAGTATTTAATATAGACGGAAACTACAGTTTTCACGATAATAATAGCTGAGCTCTATCAAAACCTGTTCGGGTTCAACTTAAAATTTATCAAAACTGGATATGGATCTTTTTAAAAAGTGTTAAAGAAAATGGCATACGAAAGGTCACTCTGCTATATACATACACTCCTGATCAGTGGATTAGTCTAATAAAAATGACCAAAGTTACTGCCCCACAGTACAAAGTAAAAGAAATGTCGCAAAAAGATTTTGTAACTTTTAAACCAATGGTAAAGAAACAAAACTGGAAAAAAGATATTACTGGAGAGGCTGTAAAAATCAGCAAAATCAGAGAAGTCCACTGCGATCCAAAGTCTCCCAATAAAGTATTTTTTGTGTATAATTTTGGAGAAAATCATAAAGTACTAGACTTACAAACAAAAAACAAACGCAAACGCGAAGAATATCAATTTCCAAGATTGTATCAAGGTTTGCTGCCAATTGACGGTAAAAAATTAAGCGGTATTTTGGGTCTGTGTAAGGCTAATTTGATACCAATGATGCATGGATTTTACAACTCCCATTCAAAATTCATTTTTTTCTTATCCTAAACTGTGTTATTTAGATCATTCTTCAATAATTAATTAAGACCTAAACAATAATTACTTTGTTAAAGAAGAACGATTTAGCTCTTGGAATAAACAAAGTAACGAACAATATTATTTTCTCAACTATTCAAATGCAATTATCTCACAATTAGTATAACTAAATTTGAGATTCGACAGTTTTCCTTGGAAGAGTCGATATGCACCCTACTAACAGACAAAACCAAATATGCCCCGATTTCTATTTTTCCCGACGGCCCTTGAAAGAGCCAGACCGGACCTGCTAGCGAGACCCAATTTCCATTCATTTTGTGCAGGGTCCTTTGTCAATTTATTGTAATGTGAAATAAGGCATCCAAAGTACAATGAATTGTAATAACTTAACCAATTTATTAGGTAAAAAAAGCTCTAATTTCTCTTTTATATGGTATAAGCATAAGCCGTAATTTAAAAAAATTCACACTGTAGTCAAGCAAATAATTAAAAAAACTATCTATAATGAAGAAATGTGTAAAATCTTTCATTACATACCGTCCGTCCCCCTCCATTTAACATTTCAGGGGCAATCCATCCATCTGTTCCGGTGATACCTGATCTCCTCGAAAATGATACTCTTCCAACTTGGAGTTTTTTACAAAGTCCAAAATCAGATATCATAGCTTTAACCTCTCCTCTCTTATCGGGAAGTGAAAGAAGGACATTATGAGGTTTTATATCTCTATGAACTGAAATTTTTGAGAAATTAGATAAAAATCACAAGTTTAATGTACTTTTAAATACCAATATCTAAGGAATGTAAATGTGCAAGTCCCAAAGTAGCTTGTTTTAAAATCTCTAAGGGTTTAATGGCGCTTGTATTACATTTCCCTTCCACATAATCGGACAGAGTTGCCTGACAAAGTTCAAGGGCTATATATCTGAACATTCTATCTTGTTCCATACAAAAATACCGTATAACGTGAGGATGAGCATCGCTCTCTCTCAATAAAGATACTTCACGATCTGCGAAATTGAAACACTCGGGTAACAGTCTCTTTACTGCTACTTTCCTGTTGTCAAATTCTCCCCTACAAATAATTTATTTTATAAAGACTGTTAAAATAATACAGCACTAATTGTACCTATACACGAAAGTACCCTCGCAACCTTTTCCCAATAACTGCTCTGGATGAAATATTATTTTACCAACTCGAACCAAATCGTTAGAGAGCTCCTCAGAAATGGCAGTAATATGACCATATGAACCTTTCTCACTGGAACGAGAACTATTTTGTGATAAGTTTTGCATTTCACGTACCTGGAAAGTATTTGTAATTTATTTCAGAATAGACAAGATACTTCATTGGTGTGGTAAAGTACAACAGCTAAAAAACTTTGGAGTTGTAGAAAATAAAATATACTGTATTATAAAATTATCTTCAAATTTGCAGTGTTATATGTGAAAGTTTGATGATCAAGAAGTTTGTTCTTTTAAACATTTTGCCTATGGTGCTGAAGTCCAACATTCGGTTGTAGCATTGCCAAACTGTACCTGCTGAATTCTGCTAAAATTGGTATTTCAGAGACATTTATTATTTTATACTGTTATAGATATGCAAGTTCTACAAATTTCAAGCAATATTTTCTCCAAATGTCCAAATGTACAGGGTGATTCACTATATTTTGATCTCCCCCATTAACTTTGTTGTTTTAAGTTATAAAAAAATGTGAAATACAAAAGTTGTACGATTTTTTATGAAGTTTTTGAAAATAATAGTAGAAAAACAAATGAAGCCCAAACAAAATAGCCACAGATGCTAACTTTATTAATTTAAATGGAACACCCTGTATATTTTTACATGTTTGGATAGAACATTCGAAAACTTCATAAAAAATCGTGCAACTTTTGTATTTCACATTTTTTTATAACTCTTAAAACAATAAAGTTAAAGGGGGGTCAAAATATAGTGAGTCACCCTGTACATCCTGTACTTAAAATTCCTATTATGTATACCTTTTTTCTCTTTAATTCTTATTAATGCACCTTTTATTTTTTTAATTTTCTAGGGTTTTGGAGATATTTAAGTTTTTTATAAAAATTGGTGAAAAGGCAGTATTTGTTTTTATAATTAATTATTCGTAGCTGATATCAATGCAATTTATAATAATAATAATGCTAATGATAATGATAATGATAATGATAATGATAATGATAATGATAATGATAATGATAATGATAATGATAAT